CCCTGCTTGTGTTCCTGCTCTCGCTATCTCTCTCTCTGTCAAATAAATAAATAAAATCTTTAAAAAATAAAAAGAAATAGAGAAATAAAATCTTTTTAAAAATAAATAAATAATAAAATCAGAAAATGCTATTGATGTTTTAGTGGAATAAATGTTGGAGTTGCTTTATTTTTAATTCCACAGAAAATGTTCACAAATAATAAAAAAGATAGAGAATTTATTATTACAGTTTAAAAAAAGAGTGATAAAATGATTCTCTTTTCAAGTCTTTCAATCTTTCTGATTCTATCTGGGAAAGATGTCTTAACACCTTTCTTCACAGTTGCTGCTCTCTTAGTCTTTGTAAGGAGAGCTCCAAGCCTCTGGTACCAGTGTCAGTCTAGAATTACTTCATTTTTATTGGTATCTATTTAAATTTATGATCTAAAGATTTCTTTTTGAAAGAATTTATATCACGGTGATTATAGTTAATAATGCTGAATTGTATATTTGAAAGTTGCTAAGAGAGTAAATCTGGAAAGTTTTCATCACCAGACAAAGATTTGTAACTATATATGATGACAGATGTTAACTAGATTTATCATGGTGACCATTTTGCAATATATACAAATATCAAATCATTATATTGTACACCTGAAACTAATATAATGTTGTATATCAATTATAACTCAAAAAAATTTACTTAGTAAAGAAAATTGGCTTACACAAAATTGTAAAGTTATTATATAGGTGATATGAGAATATAGCATGAGTCATGAAAGCATAGGGAAGGAGTGACTAAGGTGTGTCGAGATATAATGAATGATACGGCATTCCATTACTCAGTGCCTACGTTTGAGACTGGGTTCAAAGACAGTGCTGTTGAGGTAGGTTTTTAACTCAAAGATTTTTTATTTTCCTCTCTGTAGTGGAGCACATGATCCAGAAGAACCAGTGTCTCTTTACCAATACCCAGTGTAAGGTTTGCTGCGCCTTGCTCATTTCTGAGTCCCAGAAGCTGGCACACTACCAGGTATGCCATTGTACCTTTAGAAATACTTTACTTTCCAAAATAAAAAAAAAAGAAATACTTTATTTTCCACACTCAGTGCCAAGCCCTCACTTCTCCCTGGCTTGCACAGTGAAGTGTATGTAATTCCTTCCTAGCCACCCAGACATTGCCTCCATGCATGTTGACTGTGATTTGAAGGTTGACTTAATTTTTCTGTGTCTCATTTCTCCCATCCAAATCAGGATCATTATACTTATATCTTCCCTCTCAGTGTGGTATAGTAGAAAGTATGCACTTTGGCTTTAAATAGACCTGAGTTAGAATCACAACTCTGCTGCTCATCTTGGGCAAGAAGCCTCACCATCTTCAGTCTTAGTTTCCTTATCTGTAAGATAGAGATGATGGTAATTTTCTCATAGATTGCTGTGAAGGTTAGACTTAATAGCACGTAAAGTGCCTTGAACAGAGTAGGTGCTCAATAAACTAGGTTTCTTCCCCTACCTTCTCCTCCTCAAAAGTTTTTGTGAGGATGGATCAGATGAAAATCTAGTATTTTTGAGTGCCTTAGATATGAAATGGCATTTGGCTATTTTTGATCTTTTTCCTGGGTTCTTGCAGAGCAAAAAACATGCCAACAAAGTGAAGAGATACCTAGCAATCCATGGAATGGAGACATTAAAAGGGGAAACGAAGAAGCTAGACTCAGATCAGGTAATCCAGCTGCCATGTTGAGACTGCTCACTTTCTGATGAAGCCAACAGGCAGGTTGGTGTGGTGGAAAGAAGGTGGGCTTTGAGTCAGACTGAATTGGCTTCAAATCCTGGCCATGTTGTGTGACTTGGAAAAGTCTTGTTACTTCTCTAAGCCTTAATATCTTCCTCCCTAAAAATGAGAATGCTAATATCAACTATATTTTAGGATTTTTCCAAACTAAAATGAGGGAAGGTTTATAAAAAGCACCAAACACAGAGCCTGGCACATAGTAGGGCTCAGTAAATCAAGCCATTGTTATGCATTACCACCCAGTGGTTTATTGGAGCAGGACAAGAAGCTTCCCCTTCACTACTCAAGGAGAAAAAAGGGAAAGAAACCAGGCTGCTTGCTTTCTTGAAATGGGAGGGAAAGAGCTGAGTTCAGCACTTGAATGTTTTGAATAAACAAGTGGAAAAAACACCTTTCCAAACGCCTGTTCCGATTGAGGTGTAAATGCACTTGCTTTTTGGGTTAGAAATACGTGAGAATTATGCTGAAACAATCCTAGTCCCTCAGGGGTACCATTATTTTGTTCCATGGGAGGTTGTTCAAATGTCATGGGATGAGAAGTCCACTGATGAGGGCCCAATACCAGCTCTGCAACTTACTGGTTTGGTGACTTTGGGCAAATCACTTCACCTCTCTACTTCACCCATAAAATGGAGATAATAATTCCTACCTTTTAAGGGTATTGTGAGGTAAAATTCCAATTCCTAGTGGATGTTTAGTGAATGAAAATTTGCAGATTGCTTCCTATTATATATAGTGGTCACAGGTTTGGAAGGGCCTTACTCATCCCTTCTCCAAAGTCACTGGACCCATCCCCTAGTTGCCCTTCTGCTTATGATTTAGAATTCAGAAAGACAAGACTAACTCTATGACTCTGGACAAGTCACTTCACCTCTTTGTATCTTGATTATTTCAACCCTCGGGGTGGTCCAGTAGTTCAAATGAAGTGACATTCCCCTTCCTCTACAACAAAGAATTATCCAAAATGTCAATAGTGCCAAAATTGTAAAATGCTCTTGTAACGAATACTATTCACAGATCAGACCTCAGAGAGCTGGGAGCTCTTAACATAGGCTTGAAATACATTGTTTTCTGGCCTAATCACAATCAACAAATAAAACCCAAATAACTGCTTGTTCAGCAAACCCTGAATATCTGCTGTGTGCCAGACTCCAGCAGGGTGCTAAGGATAGGAAACAAAGATGATTCCAGTGGTCCATGCCCAAAGTCCTCCTAAGCTGTGACACTGTCAGTTTGGGTGACAAGTGGTATGATAGAGGTCTGTTTAAGGTACTCTGGGCATGCAGAGATGGAACAAGATTAACTTTTTCTGAATACCCACACAAAGCAGCTCGATAATTGTGTACTGAATGATTTTCTTGCATAATAATCTCCCAGAAGTGAGATATATATACATATATATATAAATACATATATATATATATATATATATAGGCCTTGAAGGCTAAGCCAATACATGCTAGGCAGGAAAAGAGGAAGATCATTCTAGGTAGCAGGAATGGCCCAAGCAAAGCAAGGAAGCAACAGAGAATAAAGTGGGGAATGGTGAGTAGAGCCTGAAATGAAGTAGCTGGAGAAAGATCCAGAAAGGTAGGTTGGGGTTAGTGTGTGAAGGGGGCCTTGAATTCCCATTCTTCTATGGGCAATGGGGAACCATTGAAGATTTTCTGGCTGGGCAGTGGCGTGATCAGACCTGTGTTCTTTCTCCCAACCAGAAGAGCAGCAGAAGCAAAGACAAGAACCAGTGCTGCCCCATCTGTAACATGACCTTTTCCTCCCCTGTCGTGGCCCAGTCGCACTACCTGGGGAAGACCCACGCAAAGAACTTAAAGCTGAAGCAGCAATCCACTAAGGTGGAAGGTACTGGTTTTCCTGAGTAGTGCTATATCGGTACCCCTCCCATCCTCAGGGCACCAATGCCAGGTGCTCCCAGAAATGCTCACTGGGGCCACAGACTTGGAGAGGTTGAACTACTTTGAGAACCCTTAAAAATATCAAAGTAGACTCAGCTTCAGTGAAATGCAGCCTCAGAGTTGTGCTCACCTAACTTCCTTTCTTTGGTTACATCAGTTTTTCTCTGTAGAAGCATCTTAGCCCTGAGCTTTTGTCCTGACAAATAATTATAATTGGGAGTGCCAAAGTCCTCCAGGCCGTGCATACCATGAGAGCATTCTATCTCCTACCTCTCCCACTTAGGTTTTTCCCTCCCAGCATCCACCGGCCCTTATTACCGTGGGTTCCAAGTTGAAAGCTAAATCCTTGTCTTTTTCGTGTGCTTAGGTTATGCCCTGCTCCCTTTAATCCTCAAAGCTGCCTGTTCTCCTCAAGACAGGGACTTGCTTTTCAAAGCGGGACACTTTAGTGCTGCCACTGCTGCCCAGCAAGCCGTGTTTGCAACTGTCATGAATTCATTTCCAGTGCAGTGACTTCTAAAACAGTCCCCTTTATCTTGTCACCACTGGTACTCAACCCCCACTCTCATCTCATTAACTCCTGACTTTCTGGGAATTTTTAACCTGTGCTAACTGCAGTCAGCCAAGAATGAAAGTTCTTTGATTTTTATTTCATTTTTTTCTTGGTAATTTTTGCTTCTTTATTTATTTCGGACCAAGAAGTAAACTAACTGTGCTATTTATAATACTTGTTATTCTTTTTTATAATACTGTATTGTGAAAACAAAACAACAGTGTTTTGGAAGACTTTGAAGATAAGGTGAAAAATCACTCATAATTACACCCTCTTAAACACACCCAAATCTAGTTCATGCTATGAAACAACAGAATATGGACTTGGAGGTCACAGACATGCAGGTTTAAATCCTGATGCTGCTATTTACCATCTATATGGCTTAACTTCTTTGAACCTGAGTTTCCTCATCTATAAAATGTTAATAATACTATCTACTTTATGGGTTATAAGGATGAAATAATGTATATAAGGAACCTAGGACTTAATAGATGCTCAGTAAATGACAGCTGCTGCTGTTAGTATTATCACCATCATCGAGATAGCCAGGATAAGTGGAATCCCCTTATGAAATGTAGTATTTGCTCAGGCATCCACCATCTGGAGCATGTCATTGGCCTTGCTTATGGTTTGTTCATCATTGAGTTATACTAGTACTAATGGCTTTTGTTTAAACTTCGTGTTGGGGGCGCCTGGCTGGCTCAGTCAGTGCAGCATGTGACTCCTGATCTTGGGGTCGTGAGTTTGAGCCCCACGTTATATGTAGAGATTGCTAAAAAATAAATAAATAAATAAAGTCGGTGTTGGTACCATGAATGGTACCAAAGAGATTAAAACATTAGGCCAAGGGAAACTACCTTAAGAACAGAACTTTATAAGGTCATTTATCTTTATATGGATTGATCTTTTCCATAAATGGGAAAATTCCCTGGAATATTCCAGGTCCCAAAGATTCCATACAAAGAGATTATTTTCCATATTCATTTTTAGCCTTTGCCACATACAGATAAGTTTTGATATAGTTGTAATCAAAGTGCATCTACCATTTGTATACTGCTTTTACTTTTCACAGAATTTTGTAGTTTAAGCACATTTCCATGTTATTATGTGAGTGTAGAACTCTATTTCTGAAATTAAACATTTTTCTAATGTAAAAGTAATAGAAGCATGTTGTAGAAAATATGGAAAATATAGGTATATGAAAAGAAAATGTACCTATAATTTTACCACTCAGAGATAACCACTGTTAACATTTTGGAGTAGTGTTTCTCCTCTAATCTTTTGTTATGTGTATGTGTGTATATCTGTGTGTATAGTTGTTTTATGTATATCCAGATTAAATCCATATATATGTCCATATAAACAAAGAATACTTTAAATAGCCTTATCATGTTTATAAAAATGATACTATGCATACTCGCTATGAGTAATTCTAGCGCAAACAATGCAAAAAGTACAAAGAAGAAAGTAAAATATCCCCCAAATCCTACCACCGAAAGAGAAATGCTATTAATATATTGGTGACATTTTCAGAATATCAGTAACACATAAAGACTGTGCATATATCTTTTAACATTGATAAGATCATATTGTGTGTGTAATTTTATACACTTTCTGTTTAATATAACATTTGTATTTCCCCATGTTATTAAAAACTTTTTTTAAACATTTTAATGACTATATAATAGCCCATCATACCATATTTAACCATTCCTCTAATGTTGAACATTTCCCCCTTTCCCTTTTTTGATATTTATAAATAACAGTACAGCAAACACCCCGTAGAATACTCTTTACATACTTCCAGCTGTTTCCTAAGAGAAGACGCCCATAATTGTTATTTTTTGGATGTCCATAAAGCGGTTCCTCCAACTTTACTTAACCATTTACCTCTGATGTTTCTCTTCAATATCTTTTAAAGAATGACCTTTTTATGTTTTAACAACATAAAACATTCCTCCCTTTCTGATGTTAAAAATCTACATTCATTGTAGAAAAGTTGGAAAATACTGAAATGCACCCTTTTACTCTATGCCTTTGGCCTTTTTTCCATGCATCACCAGTATGTTTTTTCACTTGTTTATTTTACAAAATTGAGGACATAAGAAACAGATTGCTGTATAACCTGCTTTTTTTTAACATAACACCACATACTGAATATTTTCTCATATATTAAATATTCTACAACATGTGCATTACTTTTCAAGTGACTTGCTGAAACAATGGACAGGGAAAGTTAGTGGTCAGGGAAATTGAGATTCCTATGCTGGAAAACCATTGTGAGAAAAGCCAGCAAGTTTCCTCTGGCTTGCTAAAAATCCTCAAAACTTCCCCCATTGAAGTGGTCCAGGGATGAACAAGCATCTGAGCCATCGATCTGAGTGCTGCTGAGCCCCACTTCTCTTCCACCGTTGGTGGGGGTTCTAGGCCACATTTTTAAAGCAGTGGTTACTAGGTTGACACCATTCTAGCCACGTGGACTCATTAGTGAGTCTTGGCATCCACTCCATAAAGCAGGAGTCTTGCCTGCCATCAGTATCAAGATATATGTTGACCCACAGGAGGCTTATGCATATGCCTATAACAGATTCTGATTAACTGAATTCATTGACCAAAGCCAGGGATGTTTTCTGAAGGTGGAAGCATGATCTGTAGCCCTCAGGTTACCCTACCACATTCTGGCAGCCTGGCATAGCAAAGACAGCATGGTCTTTAGGGTCACACAGACAGGTTCACTCGCTAGCAGGGTGATCTTGGACAAGTCACTTTACCCATCTGAACCTTGGTTTTTCTCTATAATGTGGCAAAATGATATCTATCTCATGGGATAGTTCTGAGGACCAAAGGAGGAAATAATATATACAAAGCATGTAACTAAATGTCAGTGTCATCCCCTCTCTCCCCTACTCAGCCTGGAAGGCAGTGTAACCCAAAAGGCCTCCCTAGTATGGTTGCCTTTTCTAAATGACCCTCCAGGTCCTCAGGCCCTCAGTTGCTACATCTGTGCATTGGCTCCCAGCTCTGTAACTAGGGCACTTTGAGGATGGGACTAAAACACCCAGGTTTCTTGTCCCACTTGCTGTGAAGTTCTTGGGAATTCTGAGGGATAAAAAGACTACAAACATGTACGTTTCTAGTCTGTTGTAATTGGGCAACTTGATAGCAGAAGCCTCCTCAGAATATGAGATAATCAGGATTCATGTACCTGAAGTAGTGAAAGCTGCTGATCAAGTAGCTGGTCTTTGAGCTCCCCCAAATCTTCCCAATTTTCCCAATTAGAGAAGGCTTTCCGTGTGTGTCACACAGGCAGAGTGCCACATCTGCAAGTGTGATTAGTGACCCAGCCTTTCTTTCCATTCAGCAGACTAGAAAGCTTGGCACCTTCTGGGTCTTTTCATTGTTTCTGTTTGAACTCTCTCACCGCAGCTCTGTCGAAACGCCTTACAAACCCTTTCCTTGTGGCCTCCACCTTAGCCTTGCACCAGAATAGAGAGATGATAGACCCAGACAAGTTCTGCAGCCTCTGCCATGCGACTTTCAACGACCCTGTCATGGCTCAACAACATTATGTGGGCAAGAAACACAGGAAACAGGAAACCAAGCTCAAACTCATGGCACACTATGGGCGGCTGGCAGACCCTGCTGTCACTGACTCATCAGGTAAGAGGGCCCAGCTCACACCCAGAGCTGGATCAGGGCCTGACCACTGGAGTTCCCCAGACTACCAAAGCTGTGCCCCTTCTTCCTTACATCTAAAGCAGGCGTTGCAAACTCAAATGCCTGCAGAAACCAGACAGGAAATTTAAATAAGTGAAAGAGCCAAGAGGGGATTTGATCAGCTGAAGAGTACATGCCTCTCCTAGGCAGCTCCAGCTAGTTACTACCGTATCTTCCGTTTTTCAAAAGACTCTAGAAAGTCAGATTTCTTTAAGAATTCCCCTCATTTTTAGGGGCGCCAGGCTGGCTCAGTCAGTAGACCATATGACTCTTGGTCTTGGGATTCTGAGTTCAAGCCCCATGTTGGGTGTAGAGATTACTTAAAGATAAAATCTTAAAAAAAAAAAAAGAAAAAGCCCCTCAGTTTTAAATGTGCTACCAAATTTTAAAAATCTTTAAAAAAAAAAAGATTTATTTATTTTAGAGAGAGAGAGAGGGTGCACAATGGGGAAGGGCAGAGGGAGAGGAAGAAAGAATCTCAAGCAGACTGCTGCTGAGTGCAGAGCCAGATGCGGGGCTCGATCTCACAACCTGGAGATCACAACCTAAGCTGAAACCAAGAGTCAGGCGCCCAACTGACTCTGCCACCCAGGCACCCGTATACAATATGTCTTTTAAAGAAATTAAGAGAAGAAATTAGGAAAAAAAATATTTATAATGTCTTTTATATTAACCCACATATTTACCATTTCTGGTGTTCTTTTTTTCTTCCTCTGGATTCAAGTTACCACTTGGTACCACTTCCTTTCGGCTAGAAGGGCTTCCTTTAGTATTTCTTTTTTTTTTTAAGATTTTATTTTTTTATTTGTCAGAGAGAGAGCACAAGTAGGAGGAGTGGCAGGCAGAGGGAGAAGCAGGCTCCCTGCTGAGTGGGGAGCCCGATGCGGGACTCGATCCCAGGACCCTGGGATCATGACCTGAGCTGAAGGCAGCTGCTTAACCAACTGAGCCACCCAGGCATCCCTCCTTTAGTATTTCTTACAAAGCAAACCTGCTAGCAGTGAATTCTCTCAGTCTTTATTTGGGAATGTTTTTATTTTGCTTTCAGTCTTAAAGAATAATTTTTTAAAATAACGTCTTTATTGATACATAATTCATATGCCATAAAATTCACCTTTGTAAAATATACAGTTCAGTGGTTTAGTATATTCACAGAATTGTGCAACCATCACCAGTAATTCCAGAACATTTTCATCACCCCAGAAAGAAACCCTATACCCATTAGCAGTCACCTCTGGCAACTGCTCATTCCCTTTCTGTTTCTATAGATTTGCCTATTCTGGATGCTTCGTATAAATTGAATTGTATAGTATGTAGCCTTTTGTGACTGGCTTCTGTCACTTAGCATAATGTTTGAAGGATAGTTTTGCTGGACATGAAGTTATTGGTTGACAGTTTTGATCTTCTCACTACTGTTATTTCACTGCCCTCTGGCTTTCATTGTTACAGATGAGAAGTTAATCAAATTATTCCACTATACATTATGAGTCATTTTTCTCTTGCTAATTTAAAGAGTTCCTGTCTTTATCTTTCTTTTTAAAAATTTATTTATTTATTTATTTATTTTAGAGAGAGAGAGAGAGCACAAGCAGGTGAAGGAGCAGAGGGAGCGAATCCTCAAGCAGACTCCTCACTGAGTGCAGAGCCCAACAGGGGGCTTGATCTCACGACCCATGAAATCACGACCTGAGCCAAAACCAAGAGTCAGACACTTAACTGAATGAGCCACCCAAGCACCCCTATCTTTATCTTTCAATAGTTTGACTATGATGTATCTGGGTGTAGATCTTTTGGTATTTATCCTGTTTTGAGAGACTTGAGACTTTTTTTTTTCTTTTTAAGATTTTATTTATTTATTTAACAGAGCACACAAGCAGGGGTAGCAACAGGCAGAGGGAGAGGAAGAGGCAGGCTTCCCACTGATCAGGGAGCCTGATGCGGGGCTCAGTCCCAGGACTCTGGGATCATGACTTGAGCCGAAGGCAGATGCTTAGCCAACTGAGCCACTCAGATGCCCCAAGAGACTTGAGACTTTTGACTGTATGGATTAATGTTTTTCTTTAATCAAATATGGGGAGTTTTCAAACATTGTTTCTTCAAATATTTTTTTTCTACTCCTTTCTCTCCTGAGATTTCCCATATATATTTGTTTGGTATGCTTTATGTATCCCACAAGTCTCTGAGGCTCTGTTCATTATTCTTCCATTTTTTTTTCCTCTTCAGATTGAATGTTTCTATTGATCTATCTGCAAGTTCACTGATTCTGTCTTCTGCTACTTTGATGTTGATTTTCTCTCGTGAATTTCTCATTTTATTTATTGTACTTTCAGCTCAACTCTGCTTTTTTGTTTCATTTTTTGTTTTTTTGTTTTTGAGAGAGAGAGCAGGAAGCAGAGGGGGAGAGGGAAAGAGAGAATCTCAAGCAGGCTCCATGCCCAGCATGGAGCCCGACGAGGGGCTCAATCCCATGACCCTGAGATCACAACGAGAGCTGAAATCAAGAGTCAGATGCTTAACCTACTGAGCCACCCAGGCGCCCTTCAACTCTGTTTTATACGTGTTCTAAGTAGAATAATTTTAACACCACATCATCAATACCATTACATTTGCTTTCTTCATGCCTTTTTTCTATGATAAAATTTGAGCTTTTTCAGACCATCAACAGTATGGATTCACAAAATAGAAGTACTGAGGCTAAGTAATCTTAGTGGGGCTAACTGTTCAATTCATTCTTGTAGACCACCCTGCCCATTGGACTACATTGCCTAACAAATCTGACCCACTGGTAGATTATATCCAGCTTGCTTTTACTAGGATCTTTTGTTGTATGCTGCTTTCTAACTATAGCTGTACCTAGAAATCCACTACCTCCCAAAAAGCCATAATAAGCAGGCTACTAAATTGGTTACATCTCTGAGGACCATCTTCACACAGAAATTGATGAATTTCTGTGGAGCTGAGTTGAAGAGTCTAAGGCCACATATGGGGCCAAGGAATAGCAAGTCATTATAGATTAGCAGTGTTCACCATTAATTGGAATATAGGAGGTCGTTTAGTCATGCACTGACCAGCTATTCTGGCCCTAAGTATCCTGAGGCAACTTTAGGCACATTAAGTCACCTAAAGACAGTTGTAACTTATATTGAGCTGTCATGATAATTTGTCTCCCAAATACTACTTCTCCTACATTCCTTAAGTTTATGAATTATCTTGCTTCTCTACACTAGCTCTCTCTGTCCATACTTCACTGACCCTGTGAAAATCAGCCCTGTGCTAGGTCTCTCAGTCTCTGCCCTGTACATCTTCTGGTTGGCTACAATACGGATACAAATCCAATCCTGCCAATATCATAGATTTGGAAGACAGAAATGGGGTGAAGATCATATTCCTATGGCTTTTGGCTATTGTTACTAACAAGAAAGGTCATGGACTATGAGATCATCCTACATCAGTATTCCAGAATCCAATATCAAGCTTCATAGGCTGAGATGTAGGTTCATTGACAATGGAAGCTTCTTACTTTCAGCAAGGTTGCAATGGAGGCCTCAAACTATAGCTTTCTGTGTAACAGTCATATATTGTTCCTAGAGACATTTATGAAGGCCCAACCAAGTACCTTCAGTGCCTTTCCAATGGTTTTCTAAGCATCTAATTTCTTATATCAAACCTGTCCCATTCTGGGGAGGTAGTTGGTAGTTGGATTAAAGTTGTAGGTGGAGGGATGCCTGGGTGGCTCAGTCAGTTAAACATCTGCCTTCGGCTCAGGTCATGATCCCAGGGTCCTGGGATTGAGTCCCGCATCAGGCTCCTTGCTCGGTGGAGAGCCTGCTTCTCCCTCTGCCTGCCGCTCCCCCTGCTTGTGCTCGCTTTCCCTCTCTCTCACAAATAAATAAAATCTTTTTTAAAAATAAATAAATGAGGGCGCCTGGGTGGCTCAGTTGGTTAAGCGACTGCCTTCGGCTCAGGTCATGATCCTGGAGTCCCGGGATCGAGTCCCGCATCGG